TGTCTTGGATTCATATTTTAATATGGCTGGCTAACATTTGACCAAGTCTTACTTAGCCACTTATCTATCAAACTAATGTCTCTAATATTTGAGTCCAAACCCATGCCGCAAATAATCTGACAGCATTACTCATGCAAAAATAAATGTGAAGTACGAACTTGTGGATGGTTGTTTTTAGACTTAGCTTGTTTGCCTACTGTTCATTACAAAAGACCAAAATGCTTATAAAATGAGAGTGCTGTTATTTTAGATACAAAGACTTACAGTATTTGCAGTTTTGATTATAACTATTATGATATAATGTTACCTAGTGGTATCATAAATACAAAGACTTACAGTATTTATATTTATTATGTATATACTTATAAATATATTATAAAATGTTACCTAAGAATGACTCCATCATGGCCCAGTTTCAAGACATTGCCTTTTTCAAAGTCAGCAATCAAACCTTTGTATCTGAGACATGCAAATAGAATAAACTGATTCAAAATAATACATAAATGTATAATTTGAAAGATAAAAAAAATTAATTCTCGGTCCAATAGCTGCAAATTATTTCTAAGGTGTGTTCCTTATTACCAATTATATTGGAATTTCAGGCTTACCCACCTCCATTTCAACCCACACAAATTAGGTTTCATTTTATGAAAAACATATAGCTTTCCTTTGAAGAGCCATAGGCTAAATTGAAACTCCTGGTCTAGAAGCAGGAAAAAAACACTACGCTTAAAAAAGATTCCTTAACATATCTGTCATTCCTTAAACTGGACATTGGATTCCAAATGGAATATAACAGTATATTTTTTCCCTTAGCAACTACATAAATATTAATGAAGCTTGGTATGAAAACTGAAACATGTATTTAATTTATATAATTTCTAATTGAACAATTTTACATCAACTTCTGGGATTCAATACAGATGTTTACAAAAATAAATAAAATATTATTTTTCACCAAATAAAAAAATTGCAGCATGAGCCTATTAGTTAATTTTTTAATCAATGATTCATCAATAATAAAATAAAATGCTGTCATAATTCTTGAAGTTATTTTAGAAAAATTATCAATACTGGTAGCCTATATCAATAAAATAAAAGCTAAGTCAGTGAGTGGTAAGGGGCCATCCATAAAAGACGTCCACCAATTTTTTGCTATTTTTTACCCCCACCCCCCTCCCCCTTTGTCCACTTTTGACTTGACGAACCG